GAGAGCGAGTGAGAGAGTGTCTTGTATTGCGTAGTAAGCGCTTGAATGGATTACGTCACGCGGCAACCGAGAAGGCAGCCAGAGGGTAGAAACGCGCAGCGGACGCGTCTCGGCCGACTGCGAGCGATGGCCGCGCACGCGACACGCACAATAGACAGTGCGGAACAACGAACGAGACGAGGGGAGGGGGGAGGGGGCAGAGAGAACTGAGAGAAGAGTAAGACCGCGAAGAAACGAGACGAGACGCGACGTGGCGTGCGTAAATCCCCCGCATATAAGGGTCGACTCAACTCTGCTGCTCCTTTCTCCGTCGTTCCACCTCGAAATACGACTACGGCGCGTCGACCGCGCGATCGATCGCCCGCTCGTACGTTATAGGTGCGCATAAAGTGTGCCGGTTTCGCCACCCCGCTACTTCCGCGGATGGACTAAAGGACGCACATGCTCCCGCCGCTCTCTCCTAAAAGCCCACGTGCGTTCACACGAATCACGAGTCTCGACCGCGTCCCCGCGTTTCTTCTTCCACCCCTCCGCTCCTCTTCCTGTTTATCCCTCCCATCCATGCGCTTAATATAAACATTAATACTCGACATATAAATGTATTTGTACACATGTATATAATACGTTTGCACGTGTGCGCCATGTATGAACATATGTACATAAACTCGTCCCTGCTGCTTTTCTCACAGTCTTCTCTCCGTCCGTCGTATAAGTCGCATTTGATTACAGTTAATTCAGCGCTACATTCAGACCGCTGAAGTTTCACCTCGTTCGCTCGCTTTTGTTTCCGTACGAGGCGCGGATTATCATCCTACTCGCGCGGCGTGGATAAAAACGTGGCGCTCTTTATACGCTCAATTCAACGTGGGGATCGCTCACCTCGTCGTGCGTGTCTGTCGCGGCGTGCGCACGATTCATGTGCGCGCCGTTTGTCACGCAGTAGCTCGCGGTGGCGATGGCGGTGACAGAAACTGCGAACGGCATATCTCACTCTTCTCCGCTTCTTCCGAGAACGTATAGATATACACGCGCGGAACGTATGCGACACGGATACCGCGCACGGCACAGAGAGAGAGAGAGAGAGAGACAGAGAGAGACAGAGAGAAAAAATAGAGAGGAGAGAAAGAGAGAGAGACACGCACAGTACACGCACAGAGCACTGACACAGAATGGACAGGCTGGCAGGCACGACGACGCGCACACTATCTTGATCCTCGGACGACTTTCGTTTGTACGCGAGTAAACTCTCTCGCCGTCGAACGAACGCGGGCGGGCGGGCGTGCGGGCGCGCGCGTGCGCGGCTCGCTTCGACGAGTAGGCGGCGCAATAACGTACACTCCGACCAGCGAGTCAGCTGCTACTGATCGAGCCGCGATTGTAGCCACCGGACGGGACCGATGCGGCCTGAACATAGCCGCGAACGCAACAGCACTGTGAGGGACGTCCCAGGGAGTCGCGGGGAGGAGCGTCGACGCGAGCGTCGCCGCGCGGTCGCCACTGCGAATCACCTCTGGCGTTTTTCTTAACAATCGTCGATTCGACGAGGATGCCTCGATTCTCAACGAGGTGAAATTGAGAGGACGATCAAGCGTTTCATTGCGTTATTACGCTGGATTGATGCTAAAGATTCGCCGTGCCCGTCAAATAAAGTCGAGAATGAGCTCTCGACGTAATCGAAGCGAATTCGTCATGGTACGTCAATACTTCTTTTTTTTTTTTTTATTCAGAGAGTAAATTGTCAATCTGCTAAAAAATTTCAGCCTTCTAACTTTATGTAATACTACTCGATGGCAAAATGACTAATTTGTATCATTCTTGTACAAACTTGAAAATACATTGTTTATTTTGAAAAGGAGATTTTTAATGTTCATTTCTACCAGATACAGGTTAACTTTAACCTCTTAACTTATTTTTTATCTTTTTTTCAGTTTTAAAAATTAAAAGAAAATATAACAATCAATTAAAGAAGATAACGAGATTAAAATTAATTTACATTGGTAGAAATGATGCATAAAAGTTCTCTTTATGAGAATAACATGATGTAAAATGATCAGGTAAATCAAATAATAACGACATTTATGATCAATCAGAAATTAGTCTGAAATTTTATAAGTCAATATAAAGCCGTTATTAAAAATTTGCCAGTCAGAACTTTGCTCCAAATTATATTCAGCAATTATGCATAATTTTACACCTGACGTTCTTACATATCATGAATAGTAATGGAATTGCGGAGGAACGGGAGAACCAGCATACACGAAAATTACAAGAAATTCTGCAAATTAACGCCATGAATTTAACTGCAAAGTTTAACAACTAAGATGTTCGCTTATGATCAAACTTTCATATCAGTTTCTCGCATTATCTTGAATGTATCAGGAGAACATAAATGAATACGATAAAAATGAAATTGTTTAAAAGCAAATTGTAATTGAGAGGCAATACCAATTAAATTCCAAGTGGTCATTATTTTTTGATTAGTACTACTTCCTTTTTGTCGAGAGCGACAGTTCTTGAATCTCCTATTCGTGATCTATTTGTTTCATTTTATCGCGCCAACAATGTCAGATAATGATTATTTTCATTGCACCACTGTGTCGCGTAAAATCGATAAAATCGATACGGCATACCTGCGCCGTGACCTCCGCGATAACCTGAATATCTTCCGTATTTTTAGATAAAATATATTTAAGCAGGCGTAAATAAATTGGCGTCGTTGAGCCCGATGAACATCTGGCCTGCCTTCTTTCCGATCACTTCCGCCCTCGACCGTCTGGCACCCTTTTCCCAAGCTCGTGACCGGCTTTTTTTCTACACGACAACACTTCCTCCTTCATCGAATATAGCAAACTCGCTCCAGGCCAATCACCAGTTTCTGCATACGTTTGCACTAATTGCGGCTTGTCACATGAACATGTGTGCATAAAGTCCTGCGATTCTCTACGTTTGTACATCAACATTATTAATCCTTCGAAACGCTCCTTATATGTAGACACGTTCGTTGAGCTTTGTTATCTTCCTTTGTGTGTATTTCCTTCCACCTAGGTTCTATTAGTTAATTATTATGCGTATTGATTTTCAGGAACATTCTCGCTAATTTTCTTGCTAAATTTGAAATATCAAACAATTCTGTTTAAAAAAGTACGACGGCGTTCGAACATGTTGCTATCCTTCTATTGTATAAATCTTTTTATACAATAGAATATATTTTATTCAACGCTTCACTAATTATTTTATAAGTTTATTTAACAACTTTTGTCAATTACAGAATTTCATATCATTTAATAATTGTTGATTTACTTTATTGAAATTGATTTGGGATAATAAACTTTTTCATAACGATAGATGTTAATTGTCGCGTCAAGTTGAAATTTTAATTAAGATAATTTATGAGACTTAATTTGTTAATTTTTATAAAATAGAGTATACGGATAACGTAGAAAGAATAGTTGCAATATTCATACGCTGTAAAGACCATACGCAATGTACTTGCGTAAGTGTAGCTATAAGTGATTGAAGGTTGTAAAAATCATTTGCCTCACATTCAAATTCATTTAATCTCACAGTCAAATATAAGGAAAATATTTAAATGTGATTAATTAATTCTTACAATTACAATCACTTACAATTACGTTCACGCAATTGTAGAATGGGTTTAACATCTTCTGAAAAGTAGATTCCTATTGTATCAGCGGCTAATGAATTTCTCTCTCTCTCTCTCTCTCTCTCTCTCTCTCTCTCTCTCTCTCTTATTCAATGAAAACTACAGTATATAAAAGTGTCTCTTATTTCATACACGTATAAATCCTTTAGTTTGTCATGTAGACACATTACAGATGGTATACAAGGAAAACAAATTTATCATGAATTGTATAATTACAAATCGATAGCGTAATAGCTAAGCTATAATTACAAGTGATTTATAATTACAACTTACAAAAATATATTAGAGATCTTTAAAAAAATCGAGAATATTCTTCGCCTTATATAATCTCTATTTAGTTCCAATACTTACCATATCATTAAGAGGACACATCTTATTTGCTACAATAAATAAAATAAATTTAGCAGAGAATTTCACAGAATTATCCGTCAGTCTACTTTCTTTTTGAAGACATCCTGACCGATAACCGCTCGCCGGAATAATTTTTTTAATCCATAAATTATTAGAATTAAACTCAATATATAAAACAGCACGACATCCATGCTGTAATAATGGAACACGCTCATGTACCTGAAATATTATATTTAACTTTATACTTCATTTTCTCACTTTGATCGGCAATATATCTAATAACGTAATTTAAACATTTACAATAAATTTTGTTCTCTCGTTAAATATTCGTTATAAAAGATAAAATTTCTATAGACTCTATAATTCACAAGAATACTCGCGCAATGATTCATCAAAAATACTCCATGTTAATTATCTACACTCCAGATCAAAAGTTTAAAAACACTTTATAAAAATTAATATTTTTATGTACTAAAATATTTATAATAATATTCTGTCTTTAATCAGAATTCTTCAGATCTAATAACAGTTATTGGATCTATAGAATTATTGTTCTTAAATTCTTGGTCTGGAGGGTAAGTGCTTTACATTTAAATGAAGAATTGTCAACGAATCTTTCAAAACTTAGCAGAATTATCCGAACATTGCTATACTCAAATGAGTATTCGTAATATTCATATTTATTATAAGAAATCGGTATATTTAATAATAATGATTTTAAAAAATGATATTACCGAATTGAACTTTTCAAATGATCAGCTCCGTCATATTTGGCAATGTGTTCGACCCACCACGTGGCTAATTCTCCAGGACCGACGAATTATTGTGAAGTGCGGCGACTTTAATTATATCTTCGCGAAGCGCACTAATGGATATACCAGCCAGATCCATTACCAAAGCGTAACCCAGTTTTTCTATCAAATAAGCACACAAAAATACAACAATCTTGCATTAAATAATTAATCATATGATAAATTCTCTTCGCGTATAAAATTCACCTAAAATTATAATTTTCACTTTCCAGAGACGCTCAAACCATTTTCTTCGCCGCATATTCAAAGCTTCTTTCACCAACCTTTAAGTTAATCGATAGTCAACTCTCACAGAAATGCTAATAGCAATTTAATGAATCAAAACTTCTCCTCTCTCTTCCTTTTCTGACAAACTGTTCAGTTCTTACGTTGGCAATCGTGATGATTGAGTTAATTATTGATTAGCGTTAATTGGAATTGGTAAAAGAACCCTCATTATTTTAACCGACGATTCAATTGATTCTACTTGACTTGGTCCATTTCTACCGCAATACACATTAATTTCAATCTCAATTTAATTTACTCCTTATTAATATACTACCTTTTTCTAATTTTTAAAATTAGAAGAAAAGTTCAATCGAGATTAATAAAAAGTTAAAGCTACCGAAATAAAAATTAATCTATCTACATTGGTAGAAATACAATATATACATTTTCTATATGATTTGTTTGGAAGAACGAAATTTGTCACAAGTCTCGACGATTATTTTCGATTATTGAGCTCAGCAGAGCAGAAGGCCACCGATACGTGCCTCAGATATAAAGCGAATGGATTTACCAGCTTGTGCCGCATTTCCATCATGATCGCAGAAGACTGGTAAGACCAGAGTCGGTGCACCGTGGTAAGCCGCTTCGTGCAAAGATAGCAGTCCACCGTGAGAAACGAAAGCACGTAGCTTGGGATGACCGAGCAGCTCCTGCTGCGGCCACCAGGCAGCCGTCCTCACATTCGCCGGCAGATCCTTGATCTTGCCACCGTCCCACTTCCACACGACATTGTACGGTAGCGTGGAGAATACTGCGAAAAAGATCTGCCGTAATGCCTCCGGCATCCCAGAAGCTCGCACCGACGATCCCATCGAGACAAACACAAAACCTGTAAAAGTTTGTTCAACATTGCGGCACGTTCGGTCCGGAAGACTTTTATTTCACGTTTTACTCCAATTGAATAGCGAGTCCTCAGAAAATAGTAAACAATACGTTGCAAAAATTACGATGTCAATCCTTTTGATATGGTTTTTATACGAAACGGTAGAAGAACTATCGTTATGCTTCAGATGTTAAAATTTTATATCTGATACTTTCACATTAAGAAGAGCCGTTACATCTGATAAAATTTATTACAAAATAAACATATTGTATTATGTATTTACACTCTAAAAAATATGGCAATTTTTAGCACTATGTGGTTTTTAACGTGTGTAATTCTTACATTTCTTTTTCTTTCAGCTACAATAAATTTTTCCAATTTATTGAATCTTGTTAGGTACACTAAAAATATGAGTGTGGATTTAACGTGATCATGGGGTTTAAATCGATATCATGTTGCTATAAGTTGGTGTTGATATAAATACGATAAGAATTAATAAATACCGCATGGTGTTAAAGCCACATCCATTTTTTTTAATAATAAGTTCGTTCACTTGCATTACATTAGATTAGCTAAAAGCTATTATATGAAAAGCTATTATATGATATTATTTAATAAAGCTAATGTAAAAGCATAGATATAATTTAAACGATTATCTAATCAATAATATTGTCACGTTATTTTTTTTTTAATGTAAATAAATATATTATTTCATTGCCAAATTTGATCATAATATGTCTCACTGTAGATTTAGATATTTTATATAAAACAGTCTTCAATGTGCACTAATTTAGTGTAATGCGAATGACCGAATTGGTCATTGATGTATATAACAAGATTCGATGAATTGGAACACTTTATTTCAGCTAAAGAAATGTTAGCTACAATTAAGTCTGATCTACAATGTACTCTTCATTTCCTGTTTCTTGCTTTTTATCTCTTGCCTTTTCCCTCCGTGTAATCGTTTTATCGACGGTTGTATTTCTTGCCACGTATTTTTTATTTCTTCCGAAGTTCGTTAACTTTTATCTCAGACGACAGGAAACGAAAAACCGGATAAAAGACAAAAAGACAAGCTGTAAGAAATAACAAAAGATAATAAAAGAACAGAAAATAAAAAACACATTGTAGATTAGGCTGTAGACGATAAGATAAAATATCATTTTGATCACGATTTAGCTACGAGATGTGAAAGGAGATTTCGAGACGTTTAGCAACTGTTGAGAACAATGCAAATTTCGTGAAGCTGAAATGCGAAATTAGGAAGTTACCGCGTCGTAGAAAGGATTCTAAGTCGGAGCTTAATTGCATCGCCGGTCTGCAGTGAAGACACGCCACGTTTACAACGTTCGACAAATAGGGCACGGAATCGCCCACGCTATAATGACTGTTCTGCAAAGTCAGGGGGACCTCCGCCGTCAGACTGTGTAGATCGTTGGGTATATGATTGCCTGTCAAAAAACGAAATACGACACGGTCATTGGGATTATATGAGTATCTAATTAAAGATATCTAAATAAAGATATATGATATTAGCATACAATTGGCAGCATCGATATATGATTCGATGAATCAGCGGGGGCACAATGATCGAAATTGATTTAGTGCTCACCGAGGTATCTCTGGAGCGTTGGTTGAAGATAAATCGAGAGCGTGAACCAGTGCATAATTTTTAGAGTGAGCAGAGCAGCCGCGTTCAGGATTCTCTGGAAGAAAGTCATGTCCTGCGTGATCGCTTTACCGAAATACGGTGTCACCGACCAAGGAGATGGATTGCCCTGTCGCATAATGGATCCGCTGTACAGTGCCACCTGCAAGATAACATCAAGTCGTTCTCATTACTCGTTAACAGCAACGTTGCACAGTGAAAGCAAATGGCTTTAATGAAGCAAAGGTATCAGGTTCTAGAAAAGGAAGAAAAAAACTTCTTATCGCTATTTCACCGTTACGCAAACTTGTTTTATCATTATGTCGCATGATGATATCATCAAAGAGAAAGAAATAAAGAAGAAATGGTGCTAACCAAACTGGCTAACAATTTTCTTAGTGCGTTAAAATTGTTTTAACATATTGAGAGAAGCGTGTAAACTGTTTTACGATGAGATTATTTCGCACTTTGTCATATTCGTTACACACGAGTGAACAGAGAACAACATGATGTTCACTGTTTACTTTTCATTTACATGCGGAAATGTCGGAATACAGTACTAACAAAGATGTTTTTCACATTTCGCGCTGGAATAACCATGGATTCAATTGCGTATTTTGTTATGTGATATTTCTGAAGACGAAGAAAAGATAAAGAAAATAGGACAGTTCTCTTGTACTATCCATTCTCTTGAGAATCGGTCCTTTAATATTAAGAATATATATATTATAATATATATTGATTAGAATTTTGTATTTAAAGATTTATATTCAACTTCTTTTACACACAAGAAATATGCACAACCATGTATAAATATTTAACTACCAACCGGGAACTAATTAAATGTAAAAGTCAGTTTTTTATTTATATTTAAAAAATGCATTATATTGTGAAATCCGCAACGGCAATCGTTGAAAATAAAGTCTATCATTACATGTGTTGCAATTCTTTTATGATATGATATGCATATTGTATAATATATACACGGAAAGAATGACTTTGCTGAGATATTTACAAATTTAGCCTATAAAAACAAATCTGAAAATAATTTTGTCAAATCATCAAAATAATTAGGTGAAACGTTTATGACAATGTTGCAAAAAGTTTTAACAGTTTGCATGCAGTAAACAGTTTAAGCGTCCTACATTTATTTTGATGATTCAAACAAAATTATTTTTAGACCCGTGTCTAGCTAAATTTTTTATATTTCAGCAAAATCTTCTTTCTTTCTATATTATGATTGAGAATATTCTATGGTTAATATTTCATTTATTGTACGACAAATTTTTCAAGCATATTAATTAGCTGCAAGATAAATAATTTTAAGAAACTCGAGAACTTATATCTATTCTGCAGCCAATTAACACGCTTGAAGAATTGTTGTACGACAAATAAAATATTAACACGCTTGAAAAATTTGTCGTATAACAACGACAATGAAATGTTAGCCTTGACTACACAAAATTGAGAATTTCTGGAAAAACTCAAGAACTTTTAAAATAATTTAATTTAAAACTCTCAAAATTGTCAATAATGAAAAGTAAAGAGAGGACTTATGAGAGTTACGCGCTATCAACGTTGCGCAATTTTGTGTGTACAGTCAAGAACTTTTTTATAATATAAACCTGCAGCCAATTAACATACTTGAAAAATTACGACAAATGAAATTACGAAATTATTACAAATTAAAACATTATGAAATACGACAAATGAAATATTAGCCTATTGACTACAAGATAGAGGAGTTTCTAGAAACTCAAGAACTTTTAAAATAATTTAATTTAAAAGCATTCGATTTTGCCAATAATAAAAAGTAAAGAGAGGGCTAATGAGAATGACGTGCTTATCAACGTTGCGCAATTTGACGTGCACAGTTTAGAACTTTTCTATAATCCTGCAGTAAATTAACATGCTTAAAAAATTTATAGTATCACAAATGAAATATTAGCTAAAAAATATTTTAATGAAAAATCTCTCAATAAGAATGTGTGCGACAATTCTCTATATATAATTCTCTATAATTCTCGTATATATATATATATATATATAATTCTCTACTGCCATGATTTTTACATGGGTCAATTTGACACAATATCATTTATCAGTTTCGAGTAAAAGTCCAAGTAGGCTGTTATCGCGGCAAGAAAACCAGGACGAGGTGTAACGGAAATCGAAATATTGCAGAGTCCCATTGCGCTTCTTGGCGAAAGGAATATTACCGTATTCAACATTATCGTCGGCACATTCTCGCCGTGGAGAATTCCCAACATGCATTCGGGATAAGCGCCGTCAAGCACCGCGACGTCCCATCGAGCGTGCGGATCGCCATTCGGTTTTCTCATACTGGCTATCGACGATGCGTCCTGGAGTAAAGCCTCGCATGACTCCCAGGCGTATCTCATAGCGTCCCACGGTGATACCGGAAGCTCATTCCGGAACCTGGCGCCCACTAGGTCCCACTCAGCCGTGAAATTCTCGACATAAGCCTGCCGTGAGACACGAGCGGTGAACATATGCGCGCGGTACAATACATAAATCCGTTAGCTTGCGTGGTCGTTGGATTAGCGTTAGCCCGGAAACTTTCAACTTCCGTGTTACAATATTGCGTCGTAAAACTTGTTTGCCCTCGGAGCTGAACCTTCTCTTTAAGTATGTATTAGTACGTAAGTATGTATTAGTCCTTCATTACACACGATGGATCATTCGTGTCCCGAGTTAACTTCTATCACTTTGACAAATATATAAAAATTGTTAAGTCATTCTTAACAGCTTTAATAAAAAAAAAATAATTAGGACTGGAAAAAGTTACTTATAAGTTACCTTAGGTATTCATAGGTATTCATTATAGAAACTGAATACAAAAAGTAATAACAAATTAGAGCAAATGATAAAATATAACATAAAAAACAAAATATGCGAATTTATTTATTCTACTTTTATAATAAAAAATAACTTATAAGTAACTTTGTAAAATAACTTCCCCAATCGTGTTTGTAAGGTTGTGCATTAAAAAAATTGTATATAAATGTTATAATTAATTACATGATACTCCTATATAGTTTTCCGAAGAAAAGTAATGTGCAGGACACAAATGACTCAATCGTATGTATCCAAAGTAAAGATAATTTAACGTGAAAAAAAAACCGATATCGTACGTTTGATTTTTTCAGAAATATAAATTACTTTAAAAAATTAAAACCGAGTAGAAATGGAATAGAGAAAAAACAGAAGTAAAGTAGACATTTCAAAACAGAATGTTGCGAGCAAAAAGAAAAAAAACTCAGGCGATACAAGCCGACGACTCTAGTAAATTACTCGGTGTGTAATAAAATTAAATGTGAGTCAAGAGCGAAATTGGAAGAAAGAAATGGCGCGCGTAAAACGCGGTAAAAATCCCGCGGGGGAGTTTGGAATCCGTCAGAGCATGGCGAGAGACGACATGCGTGGTAGATCGTAAATCACCTCGAGGATTGACGGCACCAGTTCGTGAAGACCATTATTCGCCGCGGGACCGGGGAAAGCACTCAGCAGCGTAACGTTGTGCCCTCGTGACCTCAGACTCGTACCAAGGGCGACGAAGGGCACCGTATGGGACTTGGTACCACCCATAGTGGCCATCAGGACGTTGTAGCCCAGCAGGGGCTCGATCAGCAAGGTGAACCCCAGGAGGAGCTGATAGAGACCGAGTCTATATGCGACACGCGTCATCCTCAGGATATCAGCTTGTCGACCCGGTCAACGTTGGCAAATGGATCCTCGCGTGACGATTCTCTTCTTTTTACGCGCTGCGGCGGAATATCAAGATCGTCGACGGTCCTTCAACAGACAATTGTCTCGCTATCTAACATAATTTTTTTCTCTTTTTCTTTTTCTCTTTTTCCTTTTCTTTTCTACCACGAACGATCTCCGTCACGTTCGAACACGCCCCACTTTCGTCACGAACTTCTTTCGTGCATCGACGAAGCGAGAAACGGCCTGCAGGAATCGCGGTGAATTCGTATTCTTCTCGGAGCGTTTCCGGTCGGGTAAACGGAATGATACCGGCGGGAATACGGATCTCTTACGCTCCAATTCGTGGTAGTGAACCGATGGATCGTCGCCGGTGCTATTCCTGTTGTCGATCACCCTGTGATCGTTTTGCGAGCGTATCTCGTCTGATCGATACTTAGCCGTGTCCTTACGACTGGAATTCCTCGCATTCTTTGTATCTTTCTGCAAATCGATTTGCTTAAATATAAATCGGAATAACTAAAGTTCATTCAAGTAAGATGCTTCTTATTATTCTAACTGCTGCCGAAAAAACGAGATTTTTTTTAAGTCTGTGATGAATTACGCGCCTCGTTTCTTCCAATTCTCATTCGCTTTCAGCAAATAAATGGCTTCGAAGCTGATCTTTTGTTTTTATACACATTCCGTGATTTGATTTTACTCATTCAATTTCTCGCTAAAATTATTCATAATAATCTTCTGTAAAAGAGATGAGATTCTGTCAACAGACGATTTCTTTTGATCTTTAAGTGAAAGATTGACCGTAGATAATCTTCTCTGATCTCTTTTTCAGCTGAGAAAATAGAAATTATCGATCATCTAACAAAGCTTTCTCTCTCTTTCTCGATACTCCGCTACGTAAATGAAGCTGTTTGCTGTATGCAAATCTGCATAACAGAACCCAATTTTCAATATTGATTATATCTTTCTAATATTGAAGTATCATTGAAACTTTTAAAAGTTTTTAATGATGAAGCTAAAAAGAGTTTGTAGTACAAAGGCTTTAACGATCTTCAAACTTCTATTTATGTCTTCTTTATGTCTAGCACCTACTAGTAAATAAGTCGTTAACTGTCGATAGAGAAAATTATCATAACTTCACAGAGGTAATGCTATTAAACTGAAATCCTCTGTTTTTTTATAAGTTAGCGAAGAATATCATCTACAATTGTATATACAATATAAATCTCTCCAATCGTCACTCTCAGAGGACAAAAAGGGATAAAAGCTTCATGTACTGACCGCTTTTTTTTGCTTCAATTGTTTCATTGTTAACATTTCCTTTCTTTTTAAATTTCTGCAGAGTTCAACTCTTACTTGAAATATCTTCTCCCTGCGGAGCAAGCATCGTGAAGTATTATTCTACGAAATTTCCATTTGTTTTCCTAGCAGTAGTACTTTATATCTTTCGCACAGTCTCGCGAAGAGCCCGTCGTAAGAGCACCTTTCTATCAAGTACACGATCCGACGGTTCCCCTTGAATCTTTTTGCTCCTAATAACTCTCCAGAAGCTTCTTAGTTCGTGGTCTCGCGCTGTCTTTATCTCGGATCCGTTCCTTTCTCTCGAATCTCAATTCTTATTCTACTTCAAAGTGCTCCTTTCGATTCGATATTCGCTCGAGTAGAGCTGACAAAGAGAACAATGACGCACAACTTTTCGCTCTGTGGTCTCTCGACTTTTTAAACGTCGTTTTGCCGATTTCTCACGACGTCGTGTGTCGAAATTTGAATGTCGAAAAGAGACCGCCCGTCATTTTGCTCAATTATCTTTACCTTTCTCCAGTCAGGTGAAGCTCTCTTGATCCTTCCTTTCCTTCCTGACCTTCTTTACCACTTCACGCGATTCTTGGCGGGAATATCGCAGCGCCGTTAGTCTCGATCCTCAAACTGTACAAACACGGACGACTTTCACTAATAACGTATGACTCGTATGCACGATCGTCGGTCGCGATAATTCGATTCTAGGAATCGAAAGATCAATGCCGCCTCCCGCGTCAAGTATCATTTGTCTTCATTCGAAATCTTCGACATTGAAATATATTTCTTAGCAGCACAGAGTGCAGCTCATACTCTGTAATATTTTACGAACAAACAAATCATTTCGATATCATACAGATCGAGGTGCAGTTAATTCGTTGTCTCTTAATTATCAACCGTTGATTTATCCAATAAGACAGCCTGTAGTTGCAGTTTCTCTTATTGCAGCTTAATATACTTCTTGCAATAATTTATCATTGAATCTGTTCACGTCCCACAAAAAGCTTGCCGCTCGAACGCCACGCACTTCCTTCGTCAGACTATTCGAGAGTAATCTCTTAAAAAAAATCTAATAAACTTATTGATAATTATATGTTGTAGTCATCGACGATATAAAAACTTTCATAGCAAAGTACCGCGAGAGGAATAAAACTTCGATATCACGTCAATTGATAAACAAGTTCTGTTAACAAGAACCGCACACTACCGCAATAATCGATTGACTTTTTATCGGCCTCTTTTACTTTTTTCCAAACCGCTGTGGATTTTCGGTCACGTAGCCAACCCAGCGGAACTTCTTCGTCCCGACTTAGACTTGCTACGATACGCGTCACGATTTTTGCGTCCCGCTCTGGAATCGAAGCGGAATTGGAACCGACGTTCCTGTACTCGGAAGCGCGGACCTTGAAAGCGGCGACAGACTAATATTCTTCGCTCGCGAAGCTCGCGGTATCGCCGAGCGTGAAAGTTTGACTGTGCCAGCAACAGCTTTAATGATCAGCTGAGCTCTAGAGAGAGAGTTTTCCTCCCACCAAGACGTTCCTCGTCGTCAGTCGCGAGGATGTTTGGGCGCACCTACCTCGAAGAAGTGGACATTTGATAAACATCTCGTTGACTGTGAAATTTTATAGCTATGTGATTGACGAAATGCTGTGGTTGTCGTATCCACAAAATTACTTCGTTAAGTAATGCCTTGTTGCGTTTTGAGGACAGGCACGGCTAATCATTTCTAATGCCAGTAAATTTGTTTACTATTAAAGAATATTCAGCTGCAAATTCGCCATCAAGGGTGAACAATATTATTTTACTTTAATGTAATAACATTGTTTATTATATTTTAAGAAATTCACGAAATTCACAACATTTTTTTATATATATCCTATATATATATCGTATATATAGGATAAGGCTATATCTTATCAATTTTAATTTTAAAGTAATATAAAAACTTACGAGCAAACAATATCTGATTGACGTGCTTGTAACTACATACATTATACAATCATGATTGCTCTTTAAAAGCATAAGCACGATCTTTAAATATTTAATACGTGCAGTTCTCGGAAACATAATTATTATTGCACTCGGCACGTTCATTGTAATCGCGGCACACCCTTTCACGAAACCCGCAAAAACCCGAAGAACGCGTGCGTTTTGCGCGGAAATAAAAACTCACACATTTTGTGATAATAAAGAAGGGGAATGTCTTTATTCTCAGAAAAATACGAAGATGAACTAGACTATTGCTCAGAATTCCAAAACAAGGGAAAGGATACATGTTTTACGCTTTACTTGACGTAAAACGATAATAGGCTGCGAAAGGTTTTAGTTGAAACAGCGCAACAAAATTATCGCGAGAAATAAATGAAAAAGTCTTGCTCTACTCTAATCTAGAGAAAATTGCATTTTTTTTTTCGTTTTATTTTGGGATCATAACTGACGCACTAAAGCGATTATCAGCGATGCGATCGCGATACGCCTCTCTCTTTCTCCGTTCACTTGATTTGCATCGATTCTACATGCAATTATTTACATGACTTAGTCATTTCAAATATTTCCATATATAATGAATTCAACTTTTTATCACTTTTTATACTTATAAATGTATTGAGGAAAATCAAGTCATTTAATAACAGGATGCGGTTAAAATAATCTTGTTTAAATGTATTCATGCTATAATTAAATATCATTTTATTATCCATGCTATAATATGAAATTTTGTACAGTTTATAGAAAATCTTACAACAATAATTTTATTGTTTTGATGTAATTTCCACTGGACATTATAGGCTGCTACTTTTTCGATACGTAACATCTTTTTACTATAATACTTCCGCTGTTATTAGATATTTTGCGGAATTATGATAATTTACCGTTATGTAACTCATGATGAGTTCGCAATTCCGTCATTTCGAAATCTCTTGTAGTCTTCGTCTGTGTGTATTTCTCTCTAGGTCAACGATCATCTTTGACCGGGAAATTACAATAGTAAAATAATAAAATTTTAAAAATTTTAAAAATTTCACTAATTTGGTTACAATGTAACACCAAATACTGTTGTGCTAGCATAAACAAGTTCTGCTCGAACGATAATTTATGTGTTGTATTTATTTAATTCAAATCAAACGTAAATTAAATTAAATTAAATTAAATTAAAACGTTCAAAATTAATCTATCTCTTTATTGTCATTGTCAATTAATATTTTGAACGGGTCATTAAATTTAAATTTATCTAATTTCGTGATTTAATATTAATATTCATTGTTATTAATTATTCATTACAATTAATTATTAATTTATTTATTATTGATTATTTCACTATTTATTTCTTACAATCATTGTTTATTCAATAGACTACTGTTTTGTCGATTTGCAAGAATAGATTTTGCAGATCAATGCATTAATACTCTGCTTTTCCCTATTAACGCTGCATATAAATTCGAGCGAGAATCCCGTCGTATCCCATCATTGATCAAATTTATCTCCTACTATTTCTCGACGCGTGTAACATAATTATTGGATCGCGAGCGCGGCGTAGCGCATCGTCGAATGAATCCATGCGATTAAAGCCACGTAATTGGAATCGCTTCACGAATTATCCCATCAGAATTATCGCAGCCTCCCATATTAAATCAACACTCACGTCTCTCGTGGTTCTTCCATTTTACGATTATTTACTTGCGAAGTGACCGCGATCCCTACAAGGCTAATTTTCACGCGAAGGACCGTACGGTCGCATTTCACGGATCGTTAAATCGCCAAATTGCCGCAAACCCGATTTTATGAGGTCGGGGCCGGTCTCGCGTGCACACACACACACATACACACACACACACACACACACACACACACACACACACACACACACACACACACATCCAGCGGGATACATCAAACCAAATGCGCTCGTCGAGGAAAAGGAAATGCTGTTTTTTTTATTTTTTCCAGCTTTGATTCGACGAGTGCGTCGAGATATATTCGCTGATCCGAACCGTAACGATCCAGGAAATCGACGTGATGTGTTGTTGCGGTCTATTCTTTCTACGCTATCCTTTCTAAACAACATCGCGTGAACGCTCTTTTACGTTGTAAAATAAAGCCGGATTTCAGTATAGAAAAAGCAAGTTCGAACGAACAGATACTAATAGACAATATCGGAATAAGATAAAGCAGATAAGGCTAATGATTTATTTCACGATATTCAGGAGGTTTAATTTGTATTCACGGAAGAGAAATTATCGACGATAACATTCTCGAATGTCCCGATTTTCAGAAAAAACTAATTAAAACGTTTTAATTAAGCGATATTATATATTAACGCGATTTACGTCATACATACATTACGCGATGTACTAGCGAGTGTTATATGAGAAAACCAGGTTATTTGTTAGACAAATAACATTAGCTTCCTGTTGCGTTTACGTGACGTGCAATAGATTTAAAATGTTGTAATTTACTTACCCAGTAAAAGCATTTTGTATTTGTATTGGAAACAGTCCAGTCAAGTTCTTATTAAAATTTTATGTTTTAATATATCTGAATGTTATTTGTTAACATAATGTGATTGTGTTATTTGAATATTTTGTTGTTAATCAATTTCAATATTTTTTAGTGTTAAAATAACACAATTAATGAGTAGATGAACAAATTACACAAAAATA